GGGGGGGGGGGGGAGATTAACACTCATCAGCAGTATTTTGGATGGTCACCAACCTATTTTATGTCCCTATTGCCAATCCCAGTCAAAGTGCAAAAAAAGCATGACAAACTCATAAGATCTTTCCTATGGAAGGATAATAGTAAAGAACATAAGTTCCACTTAGTCAAATGGTCCAAATTTACAATGCACAAAACACTTGGGGGCTTGGGGTTAAAGACCTGGCACTTCACAACAAAATCATGCTTATGAAGTGGCATGGGAGATATAACCAGGAGGAAGTTGGCTTTAGAAAAGAGATCATCCCAGCAAAGTATGGGGACTTCTAGTCACGGGTGCACTAATAAGATTAGAGCACCATATGAAACTAAGCTGTGGAAGTGTATCATGAAATTTTGGGAGGATTTCGCAACAAACATATCACTGCTCGTAAGAAATAGGGTACACGTCCAATTCTGGAAGGACAAACGGTTGGGACAAACTACACTAAAGGAGGCCTATCCAAGACTATTCCTGATTGCAACCAATCCATACTCTAGTATTGCTCAAAACAAGGAGGACAACACATGGAATCCAAAGCTAAGAAGGGATCTTAATGGTTGGGAGGCAGAAGATCTGGATTCACTTCCAAGACTACATAATAGCATAGTCACCAACTAGAGAAGAGATAGACTTAAATGGAGCAACAACAGAGAAGGCACTTACTCGGTCAAAGCAGGCTACTGCCACTTGAGGTCCAATAAAGAAAATGATTGATCAATGGTTATAGTGCTTCATGTGCAAACGGTTAGGAAAAGATAAAAGGAAATTACTTGCTAGAGCAATGTCAACTCGGCAGCCAATTATTATAGACATGACTAAACATGTCTGAAATACAACGGCAAATGCCTGAGACAATTGAGGATGTGATGCGTAATTGGAGATTTAGAAGAAGAATAGGGAGGTGCAGAGCATGGAATGTGGCTCCTTCAGTCCTTCCGTCCTTATTTGGTCTCTTAGAATGGACAGAAATAGTAAATACTTGAAGGGATTAAAAATGAGTTCAGAAAACTGAGGGCTTGCTTTCTCTTTGTAGTTAACTTTTGGTGCTTGATCTACATCCCTATTAGTGCGGATGATTGTGCGTCAATCATAAAGGACCATTTTTGTATAAGTTATCCACTTTTAGCCTTTTACTCAATATCAATAAATTTTACCACAACAAAAAAAAAAAAGAATCTACAATCAAACAGGGGTATTTTTTACTAGTCAAATACATTTTTTTTATTAATTTTTTTTTTGTCGGGTACTAATTTTATGAAGTTTACCGGCCAAAACTTGTCTCTTCACCTATGTAATGTTTTGTAGCCGTAGTAGAGTAAACTAACTGTGATGAGAAACACTGAATTGAAATTCTCCTAACATTACTTAACATACAAGCATACTAAAGGCTACAAATAGATAAGATATTCATATTAGCGTCAACATTTATAGCTTACTTGGCCAAACCTTTTGCTTGGCCAAAAGTGTTTTTTTACAAAGGTTAAGGTGTTTGACCAAGTTTTTAGAAGGAAAGAAATGATTTTAGGTAGAAGCAGAAGCAACTTTTGAGAAGTAGAAAAAGTACTTTTTTGAAAAGCACTTTTGAGAAAAATACACTTAGTAGCACTTTTTAAAATCTTGGCCAAACACTTATTGCTGCTCAAAAGTGCTTTTCAAATTAAGTAGTCAAATACAAACCGATTCTCACCAAAAATATTTTTTGGAAAAGCACTTTTGAAAAAAATACTTTTCAAAATAAGCTGATTTTAGAAGCTCGGCCAAACATACTATTAATAAGGTACTTTCATACTGTACATGATATGAAACACAACATAGAACACAAAACATAAATTCAATGCAATGTATATAATATTAATAAAGCAGTAAACGCTAAAGCAATTGCCAAGGTCTACATTCAAGTTTTAGCTCAAATTCACCCCTTATTCCACTTCTAGCTATAAATTCATAGGGCTAAGGTTGTAAAATCTTTTGTCTATCCATTACACTCAACTAAGTCACTTCTTGTCTTTTTCCTTTCGTAAATAAGAGGTGGCATTCAGATCAATTTGCGCAAAGCTCGGGTACTTGCACCATCTCACTGGATAACTTATGCCCACATCTTAGGCAGATGTAAAAGAAATCACCTAAATTTTTTGTGTTGTCGGGATTTGGACCCTAGTCTTTTTAGCCTGATATCTTTTCGTTTGCGTTCACATAACTTTTAAACATATAATCCATTTCGAACATACAACCTATACTCAAAATGAATAATTCAAACAATTAAAATAAGGGCACAGATTGAATGCGCGATGATTTGATATTCTAAAAAGCTCGCAATAAATATAGCACATCAAAAGTGAAGCTGAAAAAATTAAACAATAATCGATGGTTCAACAGTACTCACATGGCGAAAGAATATCGATGCCGTAGGTTCACCTGCACACGCAAATTTTTCAATTAATCAAACAAAGTCATCCAGTTAACGATTCGAAAATGATACACTGAATTTATAAACAAAAAAGAATATCGTGAAACCTAGATACGCAGATCGAAAAAAGAAACAGATCTAAAGAATGACGAAATGACCGGAGAAAGCGTAACCTGTTTCTCTTCGGGGGATTTGAGAGTCGCGGAGTGGAATGGAGCTGCAAAAGGCAATTACTATGCAAGAGGAGAATCTCGAAGGTTCGTTGGGCTTTGTGATGGATGTTGGTCAATTAGCTTGCGCCGAGTGCGTAGGGTACGCCGGGTTTAATGTAATTACTGGAATACCCCGCTCCGTGTTGTCGTTATTTGGGAGAATTCCCATTCCCAAAGGAGAAATTTCTAGATGGAACTTTTCTCTTCGCTCTCCCAATTATACCCACCAATATACTAAGGAACTAACAATACCACACACCAAAACACCCACATAATCTATATATCTATATCTATATTATTATAAAAGTATGAAGCCCTTAATTTAAAAGTTGAATTACTAAAATGCCCTTCTTAATAACCTAACTACCTACTTATGAATTAAAAATAAAAAACGCTAGGCTTAACATCTGAAAGACCTAAACCCACTGTTTCAAATTGGATACGTTGCTCTGGAAGAGAGGTGAGATGTATTCCTTGAGAAAAGTTCCATTCACTTAAAGTGTTGTCAGTATGGGTGTCCAACGGGACGGGACGGGACGATTTTAACGGGACGGGACGGGACGGGACGAGATTTAGGCGGGACGGTGGCGGGACGGGACGAAACGGGACGGGACAAACGGGACGAAACGGTCGTCCCGTCCCGTCCCGCCAACCAAACGGGACGGGACGGGACGGGACGGGACGGGTTCGTGGGCCTTAAGTGTATTTTTTTTAAAAAAAAAATTCTAGTTTTTTGAAAATTACTATGTTTTTAAAGTTTGCAACGGCTAGATTTTTGACTTATTTAATAAACTTAAATATTACTATGTTAGTATGTTAAAAAGAAAATTAGAAAACTAAGTAAAGAATTATAAAATATTAAAACAAAAGACTTGTAATGAAATAATCTAGTAAATATAAATTTATAATAGAGTTATAATTTATTTAATATAATTTCAAAGTATTTAACTATTAAGTAACACCGACAAATCATTAAAAATAATTCATCTCTTAGAGCCATTTATTTATATAATAGAACTTTCAAATCTCAAATACAAATAACATATTCTTTGAAGAGCACATATAATCACGCAGCCCACCTTCTAGGAAGGTTCTGTTTGAACTAGGCCTCTTAGTAAGCCAATATCTACAATTATCATACTAATATTGTAAGCCCTATATAGCTCTTGTAACTAATTCAATAAATCATCTTGGACATTTCTACTGGACATTGGACAGTGTGTTGATTGATGTTCCATGAGCTCCATGCCGATCATCTGCTCCCAGTGGTGTAAGGTATCTCATTGGTCTTCTTCCTCCCTAGTGGTTTTGTTTTTCATAAAATCGAAGGATTTCTTCTCTTCTGGAATTAATCCAATCTTTCTGATAAGACGAAAATCTCTAGAGCTGTCCTCCGCTAATGAATGTCTATGATACTCAATTTGAAATCTTGCCGCGCTAAATGCACTCTCCGATGCTACTGATGAATGATTGAATAGCCAGGATATTCTCGAGGCCATAATTGATAGTGTGGAAAAGCTAGCTTCCACGGTCTCCCACGCGACATGACAAATGTTGTCCTGCCATTCTTCGTCAGTGCTTGAAATTTTCCAATCCTTGATTAGAATAAGAATCAAGGTTCCATCATCAAAGAAGGAATCACAAAGAATCCTGTTATATTATACCATATATCATTTCTCCATAAAAATTCTGGCTCCAGACTTAAGTAGATAGGAGCATTGTCGTTCACATTTAATCCTACTAGTTGTATCCATAGATTTATATTTATCAAACAATTGATCTGCATGTAAAAATAATGCTGTGCTGGCAGTTGTTCGAGAGATGGTTGTTCATGTTTCTTGAATTTTTAAATTTCTCTCAAAATTTTACGAACAAGACCTTTGCAGCTCTTAGTTTTTAAAGATGGGTTAAGTAGTTGTAGAAATTTAAATAAACTTCGGGAATAGGGAAAAAAATACTTTTTAAATTTTAAAATCATTTCTTTAATGACTGGTGCATTAAAGTTGGATTTTTTTTAGAGTACTTACCTAGAATACTAACTATCACTAAAATTCAACATAAATTTAAATAATATAACATAAATATTTTTTGTAGTTACATAGATATAGCGATATACATATCAGAAAAAATTATTGTAGCATAATAAAAATTTTTCTAAAGAAATATTAATACTCTCTAATTTCATCCAATCAGCGTAACATTAGCTGAGTCACAGGTCATATAGCATATTAAATACTTTTTGGATGGGCACCCGATAATCATAAGCACTTTAAGCATTTTCATAAGTAGAATTCCACCTAGTACAAACATCTTTTGGAACTTTTCTAAAGTGGAAGGTCAGCACTAGCACATTGTTGAGCAAATTCACGAATTCATACTTTGTTTATTAATTGAGCACGAAAAATATAGCCACAAGCATGTTGTATTTTACTACAGCTATCAGAAAATAAATAAGACATTCTTTTACAACCAAGTTAAAATAATAATGGCATGCACATTCTAACATGAAAAATTGTTGGATTAGATATAGGACAATAGTCTAGATTTAGGAGCCTATTTGCCGCGGTTGTCCGTTTAGCGAACGCATTACTCTAAGACGTGATGTATTGAAATCTTATAATTAAGCTCCTAGATCGAAAATCTGTCAGTTTTCGTAGGAACAGTAGGTTGAAATATAGCTACGAGTCTCCAGCTTTGCTTCGTTTAGCAATCAAACATAAATTTTACACATCCAAATACGTTTTTGCAAGTTCCAATAGTGGATGATCAAACCCTAATGACACGTAAAAGGTTAATAAATCACAACCATTAAGGACTCGAGACGCCATATCAGATCGTGTATGGACACTTACAATCCATAGTTGATAAAATACACAACAATATATGAAAGATATTCCAGTCTGAAGATTAAAAAACATCATATTCAACCTGAGGTCTGGGAAAACATTTGAAAAAAGCAAGGGTTTATCCAAGTTTCTCTGAATGTATATAGTGCACCAAACAGCAGATGATTGAGAGAAGAAAAGTAATAAGAGTAAGCACAGACACGCCACATTGTTGTGCTAAGTTCTCACAGATCTTACGGTTTTCTAGTCCTTAATACTTTGCTTGTAAAATTGACCGGAGAGCAGGGTCAGTTGTGTTTATTTGGTATTTTAGAACCAGATCACTAGTATGCAGATGCGCCAGTACTGATGGTAGGATCCTGAATTTTTCACAGGCTTCTAGTGTAGCTTTTATCCATAAATCTTTGTGAGCACTTCTAAAGTGTCTAGTAACGCCCCCGGCCGTCCACCCACGTTAATGGGAGTGTGACAATTGCTTGCTGTACATTTTTCACAGATAGCGACGATGAGATTGACTTTATATTCATGTTTGATACATAATGAATTAACAGCACTGATGTATTATGGACGTTCAACTTAGGCTTACCCCTTACAGGGTTACAGGGTGCAGAAGCTACACAGACTGAAGCAATTGACTCTGAAGTTGGCAGCTTGGTGCTTGCGGGACTTAGTGGGTGTTTCTTCTAATCTCTCTACTTCTCATTTCATTCATCCTCATTTTCTTCACCTACAAAAAATGATACTCGTTGCCAAATTGTCTATGATAAAGTGTTTCATGAAATCTAATTGTTCTACCCGACCGACATGAACATATACAAAATTGTGTCGGGTGTTTGAGAAAATGGAAGTTTCATTCAAAACCGTAGTCATATTCATCATATGGTGTCGAATCTCGCTAGGGCTGGGAATCTGCGGTATCTAGAGGAGAAGGTTTTGACTGTACTACTTCACCCTGATTACTACTGTTTTTCTACTTATGACGGAAATACATTTTTAAGGTTGCCATGATTTAAGAATCGAAACTCAATTTAAAAATAACTAAACAAATATTACACACACAAATAGGATACGAAAAGTATAACACAGTAAAGGTAAACACAAAAATCAATTGAGAGCTATAAAATGATACACAATAATTATTAAAATTTAGGAGAATGAACGAGTGCACGCTGATGAAATATATGAAACTTGAAGAAATTGCCCGAACAATATTGCTCCAAATACTTGACGAATTAATTTGAAGCTTTGAAAGGTTTAGCGTCAAACAACACAATCTCGCGTAAAGCTACCTTAGAATACATGCAAAAGTGTGACAAGAGTATCGCACTCTCGTGAGGCATAAGTTCGTTTACATCAAAAGCTCCTCAGTAGGACTTGTTTACGCGCCGGACATATAAGACACTGTTTCTCCGCAACTGGCGGCACGCATAAGAGTGAATGTAATGCGATTTCTCTCAGCACGCACGCGAGCTCCAAAAGATAGTATGCTCGACCTTGGTGCGTCTCTCGTCGCGTACTGTGCATAACATACAGATCTAGTTGCTCAACGAAAAGTGTGGGGGGCAAGCCGGCTCACGCTGGTGAGTTGATGAGATACCGAACTGGGAAACTCGACGGGGTGCCGCTCGAGCCTCAAATCATGGTACAACTAGGGTATCATCTCAAGAAGTTCGGGGGCCCGCGAGCCTTTTTTCGTCGGGATGCGCAGGGGAGAGGTACCTTGCGGTGGGTGTCTGCGGCGATCTCTCGGGCGTCTAGGTCCGCGCCCGGCCAGTTTCGCGCAGACGGCTATTTGTCTCGCGCTACATCTCAGAGACGCCGCCGCCAACGTAGACGTCTGGCCTGGCCGGATTCAAACCGCAAAGTTAGCTAAGCGCTTAGTTCTTTACTCATAATACATGAAAATAAAATAACAGGGCGGACGGGACGGGACGGACGGGACGAAGCGGGACGAAACGGGACGGGACAAACCGGACGAAACGGGCGTCCCGTCCCGTCCCGTGTCCCGCGTAACATTGGCCCATCCCGTTTAATTTTTAGCAGGACGGGACGGGACCGTGACGGGTCGCGGGACGGGACGGGACGGCCCGTCCCGTTGGACAGCCATAGCTGTCAGTGATTCCAATCTGGACTTCCATACCTTAAGGGACACACCCGACTATTATGACTCATCAACAAATTTCAGAAAATTTGTTAATTCATCTTTGACAGGTATTCTTCTCTTACTTTGTGTCTTTTCTGTCATTAAATTGCGCATGCATCGAGTCGAGAATGTTTAATTCACAAACGATGTTAAAGTTCGAAAAATGAATGATTAAAGTATTAACA